AAGACTCCCCAAAGGGCTTTTGTTTGTGTGGGTTATGTCTATCAATATTTATATTAGAAAATAAAATGTCTTAGTATTATTCTGAAAATAGTTTTGACCCAGAGGATCCCCTGAGAGGGTTTTAGGTACCCCCAGGGGTCCCCTGATGACACTGAGGACCACTGAGCTAGATGATATCTAAAGCCCATTGCAGCTCTAAAACCTATGATCATAGGTGTGTCATTCTCTTAGTGTCCCTTCCTCCAAGCACATTATGTTCAGATCTGAAAAAAAAATAACCAAGACATATGACTTCCTTCTTTTCCTCCTTCCTTCCTTTCCTCCTTCCTTCCTTCATCCGTCCCTCTCTCCCTGTCACTCTCTCTTCCTTTCTGCAAAGTACTGTGCTAAACTCTAGGGACACAAATTTAAAAAAAAAACCCATCAGACACTGCTCTCCAGGAGCTCACATTCTAATGAGAAGATAGCAAGTACAGCATTTCATCTGCAAATCATTTGGAAAGGTCACATTGTCTTTAGGGTGCAGCAGCTAAGCAGCTAAGCAACTGATAATTAATGCTTCTTCTTTGATGTCATGTCCCCTGATAAAATCATATCCACTTCTAGACTAAAAGTATTTCTATTCCAAAGCCTCTCGGATTCAGAGTCCTCTGGTGTCCATCAGGTTCTGAGGGAGATGGTAGCAGCATTTGGGGGTGGTTGGCCTTGTGTCCTACAGTGGCTGTGGTTGCTGGACCAGAAGCAGAACTGGCAATAGTTTGAGGGTTGTAGCCACACCCAGGACTTATTCTCCCTTTGGGTGGCAGCTAACTCAGCAGCTGTTGGTGGGCCTCTTTTCCACAGTGATTTCTCACCTCAATAGTGGCTGGAGGGCTTGGTCTGGAAGCAGGTCTGGTGATGGAAACTGCTACTTCCAATGCTGTTGGGTTTAGGGTCTTTGTTGTTTCCATCAGGGTTTGAGTGGAGATGATGGTAGCAGTGATGGTTTGATTGCCTAAAACATGTGTCCTCCTGTCTCTCAGGGTGCATTGCTCCTTCAGCTAGGCTGGCTTGCCACCCTATGGATGGCTGTTGAGAAAGGAAATCCTGTCAAAGGAAAAGGGTTGAAGTGTTTCCTAGGAATATGGGATGGGGCATAGAAATCCCCCCCACCCCCACGGCTCTGAAGAGTAGTTGCCTTTATCTCAGGTAGTTAGGAGAAGATCATGGCTTATTCTTCCAGGTGTTGGCTGTTCCCTTTACGGGCTGAGCAAAAATACCATTGTGGACCCTATACCTCAGGTAGGAAAACTGAGACTCAGTGAGGGAACTAAAACCAGTTCCCTGAGTATAAGTTCCCTAATAGAGAGAAGGGACTTAAGAGAGAATCCATTCATTTGTAGATGAAGAAGCAAGAAGTTTAGAAGACTTTTAATTTTCATCATATTGTTTTTCCTTGGAATATCTTGTGTGAAATAACTAACCTCTGCAAGGGTCATTGTCTCCATTGTACAGAAAGTAAAACAGGCTCAGAAAGGGGGAGTCTTCTACCCTTTGTCATACAGCTACCCAGATCCTTCTAGAATACTGTTCTTTGTATACAGAGATAGCGCTATTGTTCAACTGTCAATGCATGTGTACTTTTGAGTTGTTTTTCAGGGTAGATGAATTTGTACTGATCTGTCCAGGTACAATTTTGACTTTGCAAAAACTGATTTGCACATTCAAGAACTGAATCTATGGCTCTGTCTGCCCTAATAGCACTATGATCTAACGACTTAGTAACCAGCTGATATAGGGATAAGAACCAGGAGCTTATTGATTCCCAGACCTCTCTGCTACAGTCCGCATAATAACAATAATAACAATAATATTTAGGCAACATTTTAAAATTTGCAAAGTGCTTTCCATATTATCTCTGTTGTTTTGCAACAATCTTGCAAGGTGGATATTATTATTCCCATTTTACAGATGGGAAATTGAGGCTCAGAGAGAAGTGATTTGTCCATGATCCACAACAACTAAGTTCAGGTAAGACTTTAGCCTAGTGCTTCTGGATTTAAAATTCAGTGCACTGCCCTCTTGCCACACAGTAAAACCCTGAGACTTAGGCCTGTTGTGGAAATCAAAAGGGAAAACTCTAAGAAAATAGTTGCCTAAATATACTGTCTTTTACTTCCAAGCAACTTTGGTGAACACAGCATGTGTACAAGTTCAGTTAGATTTTACTATATGACCTCTTTTGTACAGAAAAGTAACAAATCCAAGGAAATGTTTGTTCCAGTGGTTTTCAACTTTTTTGTCTTAGCACCCCATTACAATTTTTAAAATTGTGGGGGACACCCGAAGAACTTTTGTTTATTAGGATTATATCTATTGATATTCAGAAATTAAAACATCTTTGTATTATTATGAAAATACTTTTGACCTCATGAACTCCTTGAAAGGGTGTCAGGGACCTCCAAGAGTCAACCACGTTTTGAGCCTTGGTTTTTTCTGATGGGCTGCACTAACAACTACAAATACATATGAGAATACAGAGAAAGCAAATTCAATTAAGAAACATCTACTTTAAAATGATATAAATGACATATGGTAGAGACAACTATAGCTCACAAGACATTTGCACAGACAGAATAGAGGTGACATATTGTGCAGAGAATTAACTGCCAGAAAGAAATATCTGTTGGAACAAGATTCAGGATGTTTTATCAGATGCACATCTGTTCTGGGATAAGTCTGCCTCAGGACGGTCCCCTGGTAGTTTAGGTTTAAATGTGGAGCAAAATCAGACCCTCATTGGTCATTCAGCAGTTAGAGAGAGAGAGAGAGAGAGAGAGAGAGAGAGAGAGAGAGAGAGAGAGAGAGAGAGAGAGAGAGAGAGAGAAAGAGATTTGTTTAACCACAGGAAGAGAAAGATATTCAACAAAGATAGGCAATCTCAAGTTGATTTAGATGAAGGAAACTCTCTTGTCTGGGCTGTCCATCTCGATCAACCAATGAAGCAGCAGAGTGCCCTGCAGCGCCTCCTAACTGTTTTGTATATAGCCCACCATGCAATGATGTCAACAGCCTGAGCCAACCAAGCCTCAGAGTTGGTCTCTATACCTTTTAAGAAAAAGAAATTAGCCTATCGTGCTTGTTGTGAGGGTATTGCTTCTATTGTAACATGTTCTGTATTTGTACTTCCTCAGCAAACTGTAGCCATTTACTCTGTAGTTACTTAAAACAAAGATGGACTTACTTAGATTCAAATTTAGCTAACCTCTATTTCTGGCCTAAATAATAATGGAATTGATCTCCTTCGACAGGACTTCAAGCCCCTTAGTTAAACCCTCCTGACAAGCAATTCTTTTTTCAAGAACCATCATAAACTATTGGCCGGGTCAGACCTGAAGTAGGAGACCTGGGCTTTGGACCAGGTCTGCCCTTGCCACTGACTTGCTGTATTACCTTTGATGTATCACCTCATCTCCCAGTGCCTCAGCTTCCTCATCTGTAAAATGAAAGCCAGAGCTGAAGGAGCTTTCAAATCCCTCCCAGGGCAAATACTTCTGTGACTCCAAGGGCACAATGAATCAAAAAACGTATGGAGAGTGAGGCACAAGCTGGAGAGTGGTGAACTGGTTTCCTATGGCTTGTGTCTTCAGTTAAAAGAAATCACTTATTTTATGTTTTAGCTTTCTTTGAAAGTGTAACTGACTTTTTCCTCACAGTGTTGATGAATAATATTGGAATACATTTAGGGATGTTGAGAGCTAGTAGAGTGAATCTGGGAAGACTTCATGGAAGAGGTGACCCTTTAGAAAGACCGAACTCAATAAATGTTTGTTTAGACTAGATGTAGGAATGGAGAGAGGAACAGATATGTGCAGAAGGCAGTGGTTAGGTTTGTTTAATTTGAGTTGTGTTGTTGTTATAGGCTACGAGGTGATTTAGGTAAGGGGAGTAGGGCAGCTAGTGGAGTCTTGCAGAAGAACTCATAGAATAAGGGTGTTTGCCCAGGCCAGTGGTACTGTCAGCGAGGGAAAGAAAGAGAATTATAGAAATATTCATTAACAACCCTCCCAGACGTTTGCCTCTGAAATTCTGTGCTGGTACTTGGGTGTGTCTAGCCCTTTAAATGTTCCTTGCTGGTATGGGAGGAGCTGGTTGCCTTGGCAGAGGGCCTGGTTTCCATGGAGACTGGTCTGCTCACAAGGTGCTAACTGTTGTAATTAATAGCAGCATATCTTAGGAAGTGGCTGCAGTTGAAGATCACCAGATTCTGAAAGGCCTGGGGTGAGTGGCTTCCTCAGTATCCTCAGAAGCCATTCCTGATTCCTTTCTGTGCCTTTGAGGCACATCCAACTTGCCAAGGTTAATGAAGCCACCAGGATAAGGGTTGGTACTGAGCTAGGACTCCTGGGTTTGGGCCCAGCCTAAGGATCTCAGCCTGAGCAGGGCCCAAGTGTCCAGGGAACGTGGGCCGTAAGTCAGCATTGAAGGAGCAGCTTGGGGCTCGTCTCTTTTAGTAGAGCTATTTGAATTTATCCAGCCCTTTACCCTTAGTGTACATCCTTCCCTCCAGCCAGGTCAGGTTCTTTTCTATCTCTCCCCTCCACACCATGATTCATTTTTTCCTTCTGCCCTTAGCTTATGCTATTTTCTGTCTATTCCCAGCTTGAAACATCCTTCCCCAGATGCACATCCCTCCCCCCAAAATAGTGCCAACATATCTGCAAAGACAGGGACTATTTCAACCCACACTGGTCTCTCCATTTTCTAAAGCCATTTGTAGCACTTGGAACCTGAGCAAGGCATAGCAACTGTGAGGTGGGTAGTGGTGGTGTTTTCTTTTCCATTTTGCAGATAAGAACCAAAGCCCAGAGAGGATGTGGTTTGTCCAAGGTCACAGAGCAAGCATCTGAACTGAGTTTTGAAACCACAACTTCTGACTTCACTTCTAATGCTCTTTCTGTCATACCAAGTTGTTTCTGTAGTAGGAGTTCAATAACATGTTGATTGTCTTCTCACCCCAGGGACCCTGAAACAGACGACCTGGGACTTGGCCTTCATCCAGTTGATTGTTGATGCAAGGGACAGTGTACATGAGGAGTGACTATCTGAGCTGACCCTTGGATGAAGCCAGATCTCCGTTGACTAACACTTTCCCCAGTTCACCCCCCCCACCCCCCACCCCCGATAACCAGACTCCAGACAACTGAAGCCTTCTTAGGCTTCAGACCATAGCCACTTATTCCTCATGGAGCCCCATGGGGAGAGAGCTGGAGAGGGTGATAGGGTGCGTATTACAGCCCAGATGCTTAAAGCCTGGTCAGGTGAATTTTCCCTGGAATCCATCTTGTTGCTGAAACTTTGTGGTTTGGGACTGGTGGACCTGGGCTGCCTAGGTGAATGTTTGGGGCTGGAGTGGTTGGACTTGTCTGGTAACACCCTCACCCACCTGGGACCCCTGGCCTCCCTTCGGCAGCTAACTGTACTGAATGTCTCCGCCAACCGCCTGACCGGGCTAGAACCACTGGCCTCTTGTGAGAGCCTGCAGAGTCTCAATGTAGCTGGTAACTTGCTGGCTGGGGTGGGCCAATTGCAATGCCTGGCAGGACTTCAGCGGCTGGAACATCTGAGGCTTCAGGACCCGTTGGCACGGCTTAGCAACCCACTCTGCAGCAGCCCTTCCTACAGGGCTGCAGTTGGGGAGCTGTTGCCTGGCCTCAAGGTCATTGATGGGGAGCGAGTGTCAGGTCAGGGCAGTGAATTCTACCAGCTGTGCCGGGACCTTGACAAATCCTTGCACCGGAGCCCAGGGCCCGTCTCTACGCTTCCCCCCTGTGAGGCTAAGCCCTGGGTGGAGCCCAGCTACTGGAAGCCACCACAGGCCCAGGGCAGCTCCATCCTGGAAGATGCATGCCGCCAGTTCCGGGACACTATACAAGAATGCCAAGAGCTGAGCCAGAAGGCTGATGATAGTCTGGCCCAGGCAGAGGAGGCCCTTAGACCTGCCAGTGGGGACACAACTTCCTTTGTCTTCTAAGCCCAGCCAGTCCCCAATGTTGGGAGGGCAGTGGCTGGAGAAGGAAGTCTCCCAGGTGCCCCAGGATTTGAAGAACTCTAGATACAATCACAAACCTCATTACTGGCCCCACAGATTGTATCCAATTAGTTTTGTCCTCTTATTTATGTTTTCTGCACACTTTCAAGGAAAATTCAATCTAGATCCTTATTCTTGTGGAGATGTTATGCTTGAACTCTCTTCCTTTCCGTCTATAAGTGAGAACCAAGCATTCCAGGACTCTTCCTGAGTGTCCTATGCTCCCCTCCCCACCCCGACTCTTACAAGACTGATGCCAGGAGAGCAAGTACTTGAACCTAAGTTGATTCTCTGTCTCCCCTACCCCCCTTGCCTGCAGTTAGAGGGCTGTGATGGAGAACTGTCTGAGTATGTAAAGGCTACTTGAAAAATAAAATGTGCTATCCTGGTAAGAAGCTACTTTGCCTTCTTGGTACCTTACACCTATCTGATGCTTGCTTGCCTATAACACAGACCTGAGGGGGATGGGGGAATTGGCCATACCTTCTAAAGATCCTGAGACAGAGGGTTACCCGTCTTGGGACAGAGAGGATGAGGGATGGAGGTGGAGGGCAGAACCTTCAGTTTCTAAGATTTTCCCAGAATTGCCTATCCAAAGTCGATCCATCCTTCAAAGCCCAGCTTAACCTCCAAGAACTCTTCTGAGACCGGTATAGTCCCTCCTTGGTCACTTTCTTCTCTGAAATTCTGCTAAAACTTATAGTAGCTAACCTGGAGAGCAGAGAGCATAATCATCTAGTGTTTTGTATAGTTCTGTCTTGTTTTGTTTCTTAGTCGTCTTCTAAAGGGGACTGATTACTCTTTTGTCAGGAAACGTGGCTGTTCCTAAGACTTTTGGGTTCAGGGTTCTGGACTGCCTCCCTCAGGGAATATGGTGGTCAAGTTGGTGTTGTCTGTTTGACTTGCCTGGCATGTGCTGCCTCCTGCATATCCCTCGTAGTCCCTTGATGCTTCAGATTGTCTAGCTTGCCTACTGTATGAGTGATAAGTGGTTAGCCATTAGTAGGCATGTCCACAGGCATTGCCTCCCGGGACAATGGCTGTGAGGGCTGGGCCAGAAGCAACACCCATGGTGGTCTGGAGGGTGTGCCACTCCTAGGACTCCTGTGCCCTCTGCTTATAGATGGCAGTTGGTCAGCAGTTGTGGCTGGTGGTGTTGAGGTAGGTAGGACTCTTCTTCACAATGCTCTCTGTCTTCAATGATGGCTGTGTGGATTGCACTGAAAGCAAGGCTGGTGGCCTGGGGTACACTGCTATTCCCATGATTCTTGGGCTAGGGTTCTGGGCTGTCTCCATCAAGGGAGATAGTGGTCAAGGTAATGATGGTGGTTTGACTTGTCTGGCACACGCTACCTCTTTTCTCTCCCCAAAGGGGAGACAATTACAACTTTAGTGAGGCTGGCTTGCCTGCTCTGTGGGTGGAGCTGCTTTCCTGGATAATGGTTGTGAGGGCGGGTCTAGAGTCCGAAATGCTTGAACATCCTTTATTCAATTAATTAAGTATTTACTAAGCATGTACCCTGTTCCAGTCCCTGTGTTAGGAGCTAAAGATTCAAGTACAAAGAAAGAGATGATCCCTAAAGGTACATGTTTTTTTCTCTATAAGATTATACTCAGCTTTGAGGGTAGGGTATTGTTGATTATAAGCCTTAATCTTTTCCTGTTTGGAAGATTGTATTCCAACTTATCCTCTCATTTATAGTAGAAGCTGCTAGATCTTGTGTGATCTTTACTGTAGTTCCTTGGTACTTGAAATACTTTCTTCTTGATACTTGCAATATTTTTCTTCTTTGATGGGGGAACTCTGGATTTTAGTTATGACATTTATGAGACTTTTCCTTTTTTTCCAGGAGGTGATTGATGGATTCTTCCTATCTTCACTTTGTCTTCTAGTTCTAATAGATTTGTGCAGTTTTCATTTATGATTTCTTGAAATATAGTATCCAGGCTTTTTTTCCCCTCATGATTTTCAAGAAGTCTAATGACTTAAATTATTTCTCATTGACCTTTTTCCCCCCCAAGTCTTTTTTTTAGTCTGATATCTTACATTATCATCTGTTTTTTCAATATTTTGATTTTTTCTAATATTTCTTACTATCTCCTAGATTCACTGATTTCTGTCTAGTCTATGTTGGTTTTCAGGAAGTCCATTTCTTAGATAAGGTTTATCATACGTTTTTGCTTTTTTGTTTTTTGGAGGTTTTTTGGCAGTTGGAGTTAAATGACTTGCCCAGGGTCACACAGCTAGTAAGTGTCAAGTGTTTGATCTGAGACCGGATTTGAACTCAGGTCCTCCTGACTTCAGGGCCGGTGCTGCATCCAATGTGCCACCTACCTGCCCCATCATACGGTCTTCCAAATTTTTTATTCTCCTTTCAATTCTTCCCTTTAAAATTTTTAGTTCATTTCTTATTTCTTGCTTCATTTCTTGTACATATTCATGTAGTCTTTGTGGAAATCCATTTTTTTCCCTTTAAATTACTATTTGTAGTTTTTTTTATGGAATTACTCCTTCTTTTGGGAGATCTCAATATCTACAATAATTTTTGATACTGTTCTATGTTTTCTTAGATTAGGCACCTCCAGCTTTAGTTCTAGAATTGGAGCTTTAAGCTAAAACTCGGCTGTGTCCCCTGCTACACAGTTGGGTGGAGTGGTTGGCCCTGCTTGGTCTCACACTTTTGGGACCACTGGGTTCTTGTGCTAACCCAGGGCTAACCCCTTTCCCCCACCTATATATTTGAGGTTCAGATCACTGGATCTGACCTCTCTGACCTCTCAGGACAGTGTTAAGCATCACAGACACCCTGAGCCTAGGGTATGCAGGCCTGAGTGTAACTTCTCTGTACTGCTCCCTGTCATTCCCCAGGGCTTCCTAGGTCCCCACTCTGGGACTTTCTGACCACCTCAGGGTTTTCTAGGGGGAGCTCTCCACTCACTTTCCTGGCTGTCTTCTTTCCTATTCACCTTAGGTTTCTGATTAATTTTTTTTCTCCATAGTCAAGTGGAAGAATTCACTTGCTATAATTTCTTATTGAATTATTGAATTTCATGATCATTCAATCTGGTGTGAATTTCAGGCTTTTTTTGGAGTAGGTATGGTGGAGTTGTAGGGTCTGCCTCTCTTCAGGTAGCCATCTTGGCTCAAATTCGAACAACTCTGAGGAAATTTTTCTCCACGTTGAATTTAAAATCTATCTCACTGCAATTTCCCCACTTTGCTTCTAATTCTGCCTTCTATGGGGGAGCAGAATCTAATATTCATTCCACATGAACCCTTGAAATATTTGAAGACAGTTATTGTGTTCTTTCTACCCTAGCCCTCTTGGGCCTTCACTTTTGTAGGCTAAACACTCTCATATGGAATGATTTTGTGCCTCTTCACCATCCTGGTTGTCCTCCTTAGAACATACTCCATCTTGTCAGTGTCCCTCTTAAGATATGATGTTCAAATCTGAAGACAGAACTCCAGATGTGGTGTGATCAGGACATTATCACCTCCCTTGTTCTGGAAATTCCACTGCTCCTTCCTTGAGTTCTGGTCTGCTCTTTGTTCCATTTGTGGGTAGGATTGGGGTAGGTGTACGGGTAAGTTAGTGAAGTAACCATAGTGGTAGCAACCAAGCTTGACCCCCTTTTGAAAGTTTATTGATGCTTTTTTAAAGAGCAATCATTTCCTAATATATTATTGCCACCCCCTTGAGAATCTTCCCTTGTAACAAAGAAAGACAACATATCACCCAGTGACAAAGCAAGCCGTCTGACAGCATATGCAACATTCCTGCCCTCATAGTCTGTCTCCTCACCACTGAGAGATGTTTCATCATCAGTCCCGAGGAATGGAGATTGGTCACTGCCATTCATCTGAGTCCTGACCCCTTTTGCATGATGCCCATTCACTTTTAAGGCATTGTGAGAGGAAGTAAACACATGAAATAGGGAGCACAAAGTTTTTGGAAGTTTTATTTGAGACAGGAAGAAGCAAGGGTGCTGTGTACAGGGTTAGTAGGGCCTGGCCTCTTCTCCCAGGTGAGGAGGGATAAGGGGTGCTGTCCCTGGTGGGTGGGGAGCCTTTGCACTATTCATTGGTTTTCAAAAGGATTGAAAGCAACGTAACACCCTAGAGAGAAGAGAAATTCTTGAGTTAAGGATGAAAAAGAAATTCTTAAAGCCATTCCCATCCCTAATACTGAGTTCCCCAATGCCCAACTCTGTTCTCTATCTTGACCCCATTCTCAGTGTTGGATCCAAATCCTAGCTTTATTCTCAATTCTTAAACCCATCCTCCCTGGCAAACCCTGCCCAGTATGCAGTTTTGTTTTTCCTTCCCTCAGAGGTTCTTACCTGCTTAGGATTCAGCCAGAGCTGTGACTCCTAGAAAAGGCATATGTGCCAGGGAAGTAATAGCTGTGGGGTTCCTCACCAGCTCTCTCCACTTGAGTGCACTGGCTTTCCTGCTGCCCCTCAGGATCCTGTAGATACATTTAGGCTTAGTCTCAGCCACAGGGCCAGAAAGGAAACCACTTCCTCCTGTTCTGCCAAGTCCTTGACTTGACCTTGTCTCACTCTCCCTCCGGCCTATGCCCCCTTCACATACGTAAACCATTTCCTCTCAGGGAACAGAGGATGCTGTCCAAGATGCCTCTTCACCCACTTCCTCTCCTCTGGGCTATTTAGGCTTCATGGTTTTTCTCTTCTCTTCTACCCTCCACTCTTCCCCTTCCCCCTGCCTTAGAAACAAAGCATCAAGGCTTACCCTTTGACTCAACGGGGTCCCAATGGGGCAGTGAATCATCTGTTTCAGGATCCGATCCTTGGAATCAAACTTGATGCAAGCCAAACAGTTCCTCTTCCGCTGGGATCATAGGATCATAAGTCAAAGGATTATAGATCTATAGCTGGAAGGGATCTTAGAGATCTAGTTCTACCTCTTCATTTTATAGATGAGGAAACTGAGGCCCAAAGAAGAAGTGACTTGCTCAAGGTCACTCAAGTAGTAAGTGGCAGAGCTGGAAGTCAAACTCAGGTCCTCTGACTTCCAATCCAGCACTCTTTCTCCTATGCCACACTGGCCATATAATAGATGAGTTAGTACCAGGGAATGCCACTGAGGACATGGCAGGTTAGAACTGTTGTGGGAAGAGACATTTGGCTATGGGGTGGGGTGGGGGATATATGGGGTCAGCTGTGCTGAGACAGAGAGCACTGGAGTCAACAGGCTTATTTCTTGGCTAAAGGGTACCAGAGATTGAGGAGAGGGTAGGATTACTGATGGACAGGTTCGTCAAGAATAAGTGGAACACTTATGCCCAGAACCTCCTCCATCCTAGGACTTTGAGATCTTAGAAATGATTTAATCCAACCCCCCTCATTTTATAGGTCCAGAAATTGAGCCCTAGAGAGGTTAAGTGATTTGCCTATGGTTACTGAGGGACTCAGTAGCAGAGCTATGCCTAGAATTGAAGTCCATAGATATCTGGTCCAATGTTCCCTCCACTATATCACATAGCTTCCCCTAAACTGGATTGGTTCTGGTTAAGCTCTGGGATTTAGGTCTGTATTAGTTCAGTCTCAGGTTCACCCAGTGGGCTCGATCTGGGGCACCCTCATTTTCAAGGATCAGGCAAGCCTAGGGAGTTCAGTAGTCCTGGAAGGTCCCAAACCAAATCCTTTGCCTTGAGCCTCTCCAATGTCGTGAAACCTAGAAGTGGTAGGTAGAATCAACCTCACTATCTGGAGACCTCAAAGCAAGGCTTCACCCAGGACCTGTCTGATTACTACACCAGAATTGCTCCCCATATAAACAGTCCTATTTCCTCACCTTTACTCTTGAAGACTAAGCTCATTCCTACCTTCACCTATCCAAGGGACTCATTTGAAAGTGGCTCAACTTCCAGATAGCTCTTGGTCCACCCCTCCCCACTCACTCCCAATACCCTGCCATTGTCCTTGCCTTCTAAGATGAGGTCTCTCTCCTCAAGGCTTCTCATTATTCTTCCTTTCCCCCAAGTCATACTATTACACACACAAGAGCCACATATTCCCATAGCTACCCTTCTCATGCTGTCTCTCTGACATACACAAAAGAGGCACATGTTCTATTATATAGACACCCCCCCCACCATTTCTCTATTACACATGTACAGTGCATGTCCAGTTACATTTCGAGACACACACAAAAGACGCAGGTTCCACTGTGTATACACAATACACTCAAAGGCATATGCCAATATGTAGACACAGAGATGTATCATGTATACACACATTTTGACACAGTGATCCATTATATATGCAGGCATGCGTACATTCCTATGTCCCATTATATACAGACAGACATGTTTCATTATATTCACAGAAGCACATAGAGACTCAGATCTATGTCTCTGAAACCACACAAACACACACAGGACGCTTGACCGTTACTCACCCCATTGGGCTTCACCTTACACTCAGCATTCTTCCAGTCCTTCTTTCGGCAGCTGGTCTGCTGGAGCCCAAACTCCAGTCGAACAAATGTCCCTCCAGGGAATGACTGAGGTTAGACACAAAGGTGAATCAGCAGTTCCTACCTGTGGCCTTGCTCCCCTCCTTTTTCTTGTGACTTGCAGGCTTCATTGGGGTTAGAGGCATTATCTTACCTTCCCCCCCATGCCTAGCACAGTGTTCTGTAAACGGTAGGTATTTAATAAATGTTGGTTGCATTGTACTGCTTTATATGGTACTATATTGCATTGTTTAGTTTTTCAGTCATGTTTGACTCTTTGTGACCCCTTTTGGGGTTTTCTTGGCAAAGATACTAGAGTGGTTTGCCATTTCCCTTTCCAGTTCATTTTACAGATGAGGAAACTGAGGCAAACAGAGTTAAGTGGCTTGTCCTGGGTCGCACAGCTAGGAAGTGTTTGAGACTGGATTTGAACTCAGGTCTTCCTGACGTCAGCCTGACACTCTATCCACTATGCTACCTACCTGCCCAACTATATTGCATTGCTTTCCCTCAAGTGAGATGGCTGTGAGAAGATGACATCCAAGTATGGTACAATGGAAAGAGTACTGTATTTGTAACCAGAGAACCTTGGTTCAAATTCTGGCTCTGCCACTTACTATCTGTGATCTTAGGCAAGAGACTATCTCTGTAGGCCTCGATTTTCTTATCTATAAAATGAGACCATCGAACTAAATTACCTCTGAGGTCCTTTCCAGCTCTAAATCTGTGGCCCTAAAGTCTCTTCATTTTCAAACTTGCCTGCTGGGCATCTGATGCTATCACCAGGCATCAGTGGTCCTACATCAATAGATAGCAGGTCAAACATGGGCCCTGGCCATATGTCTTCTACATGTGTGCTCACTATTTTCATGGTGAGCTTGTGCATCTGTGAGAAAAGTGTGCTCTAGGTTTGGGTGGGGTAATGTTCTATTGTGACTTTTTCCCCCCACTGTGTTATTTCATTAAATGCCTTTGCATAAAAACAAAAACAACAAAAAACTTGCTGGAGAAATACTGATATCTCTGGGGTGAAACCCCAGAATGCACCCCTCCCAGAGCAAAGTGGAGAATTCTTCTCTCATTATATCCCTCCCCACCCTCATTTAGGCCAGTGGGGTCCCTCCCACCCACCATGTCGCTGGCACTGTCCACACCGATCTCCTTGAATGCCCACTGCACAGGTGGGTGATTGTGGAACTTCTCCAAAGCCACCTGCAAGCCCCGTTGTTGTAGCACCGAGAGCTCATCCCCCCTGGTTCCTGTGGGCCCCAGAGCACTGAGCCACAGGGCAAGGGGCAACAGCAACTGCCTCATTTCTTTTCTGCACATCACAGTCCTCTGGACCTGGGCCAGGCACCTGTAACGGATCAGGATGTGTCCATGACAGCAAGATCCTCCTGCCAAATCTCACACTCTCCACATTCCCTCCACCCTCTGCTCCATCCTCGTCACTTCTGTCACCCAGACTCAATGGCATGGTTCCCTGATGGTCCTGGTTCTTTAGTTGTATGGGGAGAAGCAAGGCCCAGAAGGGGAAAGAGTAATGGATTGGGGAGGAGGGGTTGATGTGGCCTTAGATGGGGCCATCCCTAAGGGAGACTGCACCCTACCTGAATCAGGTGAAATCAGGAAAGTGAAAGCAGAATAAAATGAACAACCAGGGCACCTTTGATAGGACAAAGAGCAATGTGCCACAGTGGGTAGCGTCCTGGAGTTGTAGGCAGAAGACTTGGATTTGAAACTCAGCACCGATCACTGGATAAGCATGGCAAGTCGTTTCACTTGGATCTTAGATTCCTAATTAATAAAATGAGGAGGGGTGATTGATCTCCGAGGCCCTTTGCAGCTCGTTTCCTAGGACCACCTGAGCCACAGCAGGGGAACAGGAGAGAGTTATATGGAAGAAAAGAAGGCAGGGCTGCCAGATAGTGCAGGACGTTCAGTTAGGCCTTTTTAGTGCCAGCCTGGGGTTCCCCTCCTCACCTGCTTACTTCCCTAGGTTAGCTGCAGACCTCCCTATTCTGGGCCCATCAAAGCCTAGGGGTAGGGTGAGAATGGGGGACTGTGCAGAAAGAGCTACCCCCTGTGAATCCTTCCTGAAAGTGACATTTTGGGTCCCTGCATGCTGTCTAGCTAGCCCTCTTTCCTTTCCCTTCCTAGCCTTCCCTTTTGCAGCTCCCTTCCCCAGCAGGACAGATTGGGAAGAGCTGCTCTCTGAAGCTTCCCAGAAATTGGAAATGACGTCACAGCCAGGGCCAGGTTTCTGAGGCCCTGGAAACAGATTCCATCTTCCCTCCCACCCCCTCTGCCATTCTGCCCACTCTACTCCTACCATGCCACCCCTCTTCTCAGCCCAGTCTCTCTCCCCAACCCCTTCCACTCAGTATCCTCCCCCTTCCCCTCCTCTGACTCTTCACTTGCTCCCTCCACTGGGGTCAGGTCAGTGCCCTGGACTTTCCCAGCTCCCCAGAGGTCCTAGCTCCACCCCCAGCCCCTGGCACTGAGAAGGCCTGTGGGGGAGGGAGGGGAATAGAGGGAGACGAGGAGAGGCACACATTGAGGATGAATATTTTGGGGAGGACGTAAACATCCCGAAGGGCTGAGCTGGGGCTTAACCCTCAGCATGCTGGGGCCTGCTGCTGGGCTGTCCAATCCAAGAAATCTTGATCTCAACAAGATTCCACTCCTCTTCCCCTTGCAGAGCCTCCTGATTCCTAACCGACAATGAATCTTTTCTAGTTTAACTCCTTCCCAGAATGGCTTCCCCACTTCCCTTCCCCTAAAAGGCCCCCCTTTCGCCCTCTCTTTTCTGGGGCCAAATCACTTCCTCCTCCCAGCTTCAGAGTCACTTTCTGACCTTTGGTAAAAAGACTTCCCCTACCCCTAGTCCCCTACTAGCTCCACTGTGGCAGAGCCTTCAGCCCTTAGAAAAGTTCCAAAACTTGATACAACCTCCAGGATAAGAGGGATATGAAATTGGTCTCTGATGTCTGCTTTTCCCTTCACCTCTGACCCACTCTTCTATCTCCTCACCCTCCTGTCCATCCCCCATTTCCCTCCCCTCCACCTCTCTCCCATTTCACCTTCTTCTTAGCTGGGGCTTCTGGACCTCTCCTCTTAAGCTCCCGTAGCCGTCTGCCTCTCCTCCCCCTTACCCCAACCTCCGCCTCCCCAGCTCCTCCCCTGCATCTGGTCTCTGCCCCCATCTCCTCCCACCTCTGGCTCTATGACACCCCCCTCCCCATTACCACCATCCAATCCTCTAGGTCCCTACTTCCACAACTCCTGGGATGCCCTTCTGCTCTAACCCTGAAGGATCCAGAGTGGTCTCCCAAGCAGCAGTCCCAAGCCTCCACGCCCCCCCCCAAACCTCCCTTTTCTTCTTGCATTCTCCCTCACCCCTTCCCCCATCCAAGTCCAGGGAAGCTGGCCAGCTGGCCAGACCTCAGTCAAGGCAGTTAGCTGAGCTCCTCCACCAGACTGAGCCATTAAAGTAGGTGATCTGACCAAAGGAACTACTTTGGGGAAAATCCTGCCACCCCTCAGCCTTGCCTAGTCCAAACCTTGGCCCTCCAAAGACCATTGGATGGTCTTTGGTCTCTCCCCTTGCTTCTAGGCTGGGCTGCCTTTAAACATCTCTCTTGCCTCTCTCAATTGTCAGTGCCAGGGTCTTACACGTATCTACTCAGAAAATTCCTTCTAAAGCCATACATCCCTTGATTTGACAATAAAATAAACGTTTATTGAACCCTATTATGTGCTCTGTGCTAGCATTGGGGATAGAAAAAAAAATCCCTGCCCCCAAAGAGCTTACATTCTATGTGAGTGATAGGGACACATTTACACAAATAAATGATATAGAAGGGAGATGTTAGTCCCCTTGTTAATACAGTGACATTTTGATGTAATGGGAGCTTGATCAGGAGAACTTCTGCTCTGCCCGATGAACCCCTCAATCAACTTGATGAGATTATAGGACCTAGACCAGAGGCATGCTGGAGCCAATTCTCACTGGTTTATGAAAAGGAGCTGCTAAATTTTCAGTGAGTATTTACACCTCAGAAATTGGCAAATGCTACAAATTAGGACTTGGTTTATTGTTTAATTGATTGTCTACTCTAGACTTAAGAAAATGGTGGAGGAAATGTGAATAATGCTGATTAAACTTTAAAATGTGCCAAGTGTACTTTTGGAGAGCCATGTGAATAATCCTTATTAAACTTTAAAATGTGTCAATTATACTTTTGAAGAGCCGTGTGTTAAGCATTTAGCAGCACGCTCCTCGACTGGAGTGTTGTCAGAAGGGGGCACTTCCATGCCATTTGCAGAGGGACAGTGAGCTCCTCTGATTGGGCATCAGACTGGGATTGACTTGAAGATGATTGGTGATTTCAAAGGGCAGGGAAGGAGAAAGGGGGATGGACAAATTGTTGCCAGAGAATAGTGTGGTTAGTAAGAGCAAGTTCTTTCTTTTGGTTCTCCAGACCATGGTGCAGGAAGAATGCAGCCAAGGGCAGGGAATGGGGAAGGAGATTTTTCTTTTCCTCTCAAGCCCACCAGGAGCAGCAATGGAAAGTTACAACAGAAGCACCATGGAAGCTGAGACTATTCTAGATGACTTCTGCCTTCCTATTCCCTTTTCTGAGCACAGCTTGGTGACTAGTTTATATATGTCCTAATAGGTTTATAGGCAGCTAGGTGGCAAGGTGAATAGAGAGCCGGGCCTGGAGTCAAGCAGACCTGAATTCAAATATGACCTCAGACGATTACTATCTGTGTGACCCTGGACAAGTCACTTAACTCTGCTTGCCTCAGTTTCCTCATCTGTAAAATAAGCTGGAGAAGGAAATATCAGACTACTCCAGTATCTTTGCCAAGAAAACCCCAAATGGGGTCACAAAGAGTGGTATTCGACTGAACAACAACAACAATAACTTGTCAATAGTCAATAAACATTTATCAAGCTCCTCCTTTGTGCCAAGCATTGTCCTAAGCTCTGGGGATACACAGAGAAGCAAAAGGGCAGCCCCTCCTGACACTGACGTAGATTCATTGGCCCTTTGGGTGCAGAGACTGACGAGGATAATAGATATGAGGGGCGGGGAGAGGCCAGGCACGTGACTGCCCTAGAATGTCTGAGGACAGAAGTGGGGGAACACAAGTCAGCAGCCTCTTGGCCTCCTTGCCTCCACACAGCCTCAGGAAAATGTAAACATTTACACTTCCCAGATGAAGGCTAGGCTTCCAGGACAGACAAGTTCTCCGGCAGCAGAGGGCAGTAGCTAAAAGGACCACAGTAAGAGTGAGAGGAGGCTTCAGATTGCCCCCAGGAAGCAAGCAGCAGATGAAATCCCAGAAGAGTGAAAGGGGATTTCCAGACTTCCAGGTGCTGCCCTGATGTTGAGATTAGATTGTTTTTCCCTGTGTCCCAAGCTGTAGCATGAGAGCTGGAATGTTTGTGGTCTGATACTCACTTCCTGTGGTCCTGTGATCTAGACCTTCCCTGACTAGGGAGGCTGCCACTGATGGGAAAAGAAAGGCTGCCCCAAGTGAGTATTTTCCTTTAGTGGAGGGTGGGGAGGAGTGGAGAGAAGATCAGGGAGAACTGGATCTGGGAGTGAATGAAATTGGTAATGAAATTGGTGTTACATTCAAGCAATCCTTCTGTTTTTACTGCCCATTTATTTAATACAATTAAACTGCTTACTAAGAGAATGACCTTTAAAAGGGCAGAAGCTTTTGATTGACATGTGAAAGAATGTAGTCAGTACACAAGCTAAGAGACTAATATACATGCATATCTCTAGATCAGGGTTTTGTTTTGTGTTTTTAAACCTGGGATCCATGTCCATAGGTAGATTTGAGAGGTCTGGTGGACTTGGATGGGGAAAATTTGTATTTTAATTTTTACTAACCTCTAAGTGAAATCTTTCCCTCCAATTATGAATGTAGGCAAATGACCATGATAGTATTGTGATAGTGCCTGGTACTTTGTCATCAATAAAAATCACAGATATTTTCATATCATGTTACAGTTGTTGCAGATGTCTTGAAATATCATTTATGCTCATCATTACTTTGAAATTACTTTAGTTATTAGCCCCACCACTAGATTGCATGTGATGGCAATTTTGCTGTCAACAGAATGTATTTTAATGTAATTGGTTTCCTTTGCAATCCTATGTATTTTATTTTATATGTTTAAAAACATTATTTTAAGAAGTGGTCCATAGACTTCACCAGCCTGCTAAAAGAGTCCATGACACTCACAGCAGAGTTAAGAACCCCTGCTTTAGGTGGCATAAAAGCCTGGGAGCCACAATGTAGAAGACAGAGCTTTTGAGTACCTGATAGTAAGAATGGACTTGGGTACTGCTAGTGACTTTTGACTCCAATTTAAAGGACTGGCCAGGCAGTTGTACACTCCAATAGCACAACCTAGTGGTGACAGTAAATAATAGTGTAATTTGGAGCATGGGAGTGCATTAACAACCAGGGTGCTCTGGAAACTCCATAGTCCATGAGGCCTGAAGTGAGCCTTGGAGAAAACAAAGGCTTCTAAGACATGGAGGTGAGGAGAGAATGCATTCTGGACATGGGAGACAACTTGTGAAATGGAATGTGAAGCTCAAGTAAAAGCAGAACATGTAGTAGGGGAGTCATGTGAATGAATCTGGAAAGGTAGGCTATAAAAGACTTTAATACTCAAGCTTCAGAGTTAGTATTTTATCTTTGAGACTGAAGGTTGTTAAGCAGGGGAGTAGCATAGTCAGACGTGTGTTTTATTTAGAAAGATTATCTTAAAAGCTATGTGGGGGGTAGATTTGAGAAGGACAGACTAGCATTAGAGACCAATGCTATTGTGATAGTACAGGAGAAAAGTGATGTGGCCTGAATTAGGGTGGGGAATAGTGTGAGAGAAAAGGGTATGGATGCAAAAGATATTGTGGAAGTATAATTCACAAAAGTTGGCAGCTTTTTGGATATGAGAGGTTAAGGACAAGAAACGGTGAAATATGATTTTGGGATTGTGAATCTGGTTGACTGGAAGGATTGTGACATCCTCAGTTGAAATAAGGAAGTTTAAAGAAGGGAGAGATAAATTTTGTTTTAAGTTCAATTTGAGATGCTTTCAAGACAAGTCCAGTCAGTTGAAATGTCCAGCAGAAAGTTGGGCAGGACCAGAACTCAAGAGAGGAATAAGGGCAGGATTTAGAGCTGTATTTAGTACATGCTTAGGACAAGAAGCAGGAAAAACACTCTCATTTGGGGAGGTAGGATGGGGAGGTAACAGAAAGTGAAGAAGTGGCAAGTGGGATGACAATGGAAAGGGAGGAGGAAGCAGGATGGGATAAAAGTGGAAGTATTGTCAATGTTGTCAGTGCCCTCAAAATTCAGTGCCCTGGGGCAAAATTCCTGTCATCTTACCCTAGTTTTTCTTCTAGCTGGTGAGACAGATTTGAGAGTCACCTACATAGCAATGATAATTGAATCCTTGGGAAGGGATGAGATTATACACAGATATAAAGCAGAGAAGGTGGCCCCATAATGAAGCCTTGAGAAAACACCCAATTAGTGGGTGAGGCCTGTATGATGTCAGCTAAGGAAACCAAGGAGTAGTCAGACAGTCAAGAGGAAAACAAGGAAAGAATAATGTCATGAAACCCCAGAGAAGAAAGAGTATGCAAGGAGAGGGGCTAATCAGCAAGGCCAAAAGCTGCAGAGATAAGGTGAAGAAGGTTGACTGAGGAAAGGCCAACAGATTTAGTAATTAAGAGACTATTAACTCCCCTTCACGCTAAAATATTTGTGGGGACACTTTGTGTAGTATCAAGGAAGTGGAAACAAAATAGATGTCCTTAAAATGGAGAATGGCTAAAAAAAAATTGTGTGTGTGAATGTAGTGGAATATTGCTGCAATACAAGAAATAAAAAAAGAAACAATTATGAGATCCATAGGAAGGCATATTAATTGATGCAGAATGAAGTCATCAGAACCAGGAAAACAATGTACAAAAGAACTACAATAATTTGAACAGAAATATAACCAAAGGCTGTGAAATTATGAGTAAGCTTGGCCCTAGAGAAGAGTTAAGGAAATTTACCACTCTCCCTTTTTTATAGAAGTGGGGAACTTCAGGTATGAAGTAAGCATGTAAGGTAAAATATGGTTGATGTGTTGATT